TGAATTGTGAGGACGTCTCAGGCGGGAGCCCCCTCCCTATGGGGCCCGCAGATCATGTTAATAATCCGAGCGGGTCATCGGATTCCTGTATCTGTCGTCACTTTTGGGCTCCTCAGGTTTGGCTTTGGAAGAAGTATCAAGCGGGAGCCTCGTCTGTGAGTGAATTGTGAGGACGCGTCAGGCGGGAACCCCCTCCCTATGGGGCCCGCAGATCATGTTAATAATCCGAGCGGGTCATCGGATTCCTGTATCTGCCGTCACTTTTGGGCTCCTCAGGTTTGGCTTTGGAAGAAGTATCAAGCGGGAGCCTCGTCTGTGAGTGAATTGTGAGGAAGTCTCAGGCGGGAGCCCCGTCCATATGGGGCTCGCAGATCATGTTACTAATCCGAGCGGGTCATCGGATTCCTGTATCTGTCGTCACTTTTGGGCTCCCCAGGTCTGAATTTGGAGGAAGTATCAAGCGGGAGTCTCGTCTGTGAGTGAATTGTAAGTCTCAGGCGGGAGCCCCCCTCCCTATGGGGCCCGCAGATCATGTTACTAATCCGAGCGGGTCATCGGATTCCTGTATCTGTCGTCATTTTGGGGCTCCTCAGGTTTGAATTTGGAGGAAGTATCAAGCGGGAACCTCGTCTGTGAGTGAATTGTGAGGAAGTCTCAAGCGGAAGCCCCCTCCCTATGGGGCCCGCAGATCATATTATTAATCCAAGCGGGTCATCGGATTCCTGTAACTGTCGTCACTTTTGGGTTCCTCAGGTCTGAATTTGGAGGAAGTATAAAGCGGGAGCCTCGTCTGTGAGTGAATTGCGAGGAAGTCTCAGGCGGGAGCCCCCTCCCTATGGGGCCCGCAGATCATGTTACTAATCCAAGCGGGTCATCGGATTCCTGTATCTGTCGTCACTTTTGGGCTCCTCAGGTCTGAATTTGGAGGAAGTATCAGGCGGGAGCCTCGTTTGTCAGTGAATTGTGAGGAAGTCTCAGGCGGGAGCCCCCTCCCTATGGGGCCCGCAGATCATGTTACTAATCCGAGCGGGTCATCGGATTCCTGTAACTGTCGTCACTTTTGGGCTCCTCAGGTCTGAATTTGGAAGAAGTATCAAGCGGGACCCTCGTCTGTGAGTGAATTGTGAGGACGCGTCAGGCGGGAGCCTTCCTATGGGTCCCGCAGCTCACGTGGTTCCTCCGGGTCATCCTCCGGCGCGCGCTTCCTCTGGGTCGTCCTCGGCGCGTATCGGCTGGGACGCACGTCGGCGCTTCCTCTGGGTCGTGTTCCGCACGAGGACGAGGAGGAGGAGGATTGCCAGGAAAAGGAGGAGGGATGATGCAGGACGAGACAGGAAAGCAGGAAGAGGCTGAGGGGAGGAAGGACGAGGAGGAAAAGGAGGAGGAGGAATGCCCGAGGAGGCCCCAGTAGGTCCCGGAAGGCCCAGAAGGCTCCAAGAGGCCCCAAGAGGCCCCAGGAGGCCCCAGGAGGGGGCAGGAGGCCTAAGGAGGAGGCAGGAGGAGGAGGAGGAGGAGGAGGAGGAGGAGGAGGAGGGGAGAGGATGGAAACGAGGAGAGGAGGAGGATGAGGAGGAGGGGATGAGGGAGGGGAGGAGAGGACAGGGGATAGGAGAGGAGGAGGAGGAGGAGGAGAAGGGAGAGGGAGAGCAGGAGGAGGCAGGAGGCAGGAGGGGCAGGGGGAATGGGGGGGAGGAAGCATAACGAGGGGGAGGGGGAGGAGGTGGAGGAGGCAAGAAGAGGGGTTGAGGCAGGAGGAGGAGCAGACAGGAGGAGAACGAGGAGGCAAGAGTAGGTGGGAGAAGGGAAGGGGCAGGAGGATACCCCCATGCAAGCTAAAGAGATTATCATGTGGGGTCCTTCCGTCGGAGTAATTGGAGTACCTGTTTGGCCCACGACGGGCCCATTGAGTGTCACAAAGCAAAATCGCACCCGTCCTATGACGACCGGGATATCCAGCCCTGGGCTTTTCTGGTCAATCAATGTACTGATCGCGTGGCCGAAGAAACCACGAATAATTGCCAGCTGCCTGACCACGTCCTCGAGCAGATAGATGCCGAGGATGAAGAGATGAGACTCATCTCCGCTCGTTAAGCCACTATACAGTCAGACTTCTGGGGGATGTTAAGCCGCCTCCTCCCCCCAAGAAAGTCGCCCAGCCTAGACCCCCAAGGAGGGGTCATGCGCAACATGTTTTTTGAAACGACTGCCCAGGGGCTTCGGTGTCATATTTGTTTTCGGTACTCTCCCACGGGCACCCAGGCCCCGTGGACGAAGCAGTCATTCACGCCGAATAATGCGCAGGGCTACCACACCCCCCACCTCCCCCACTTGCACGTCTTTCCTGGTATCGCATTTTGCGGGAGGTGTAGTGGCATAGGCAAGACTAAGGCAGTGAAGCTGCGATCACAGCGCGAGGCTCCCATCAGCACGGGCCGACGCGCTAAGGAAAGATGGCTGAAAAGGGCAACTCCCCCAGGGTGTTTTGCGTTGGCCCTCCTCCCTCGGCGCTCTCTCACAAGAGGAGTGCGCCAGAGCTGTCGGGGTCTCCCACAAGAGGATATGGAGGTAGTTGCCAGGCAGGGCCCTCGGCGCGCGTGGAGTTTCCTTCGCATGCCGGCAACATGGCAACATGGAGGAAGAGGAGGAGGAGGAGGAGGAGAAGCGGGAGCAGGACAAGGTTCAGGGAGGTGGAGGAGGAAGATGCGGAGGAGGAGTTGGATGTAAGATCTTAGCATCTGTGGCGGTCCAGGCAGCAGTGCGTGTTGTCCGCCGTGTCTCTACACGTTGGCCACCTGTGCCTGGGCACAGGAGGAGGCCGCGCAGCGGCAGCAGGAGGAGCAGAACCTATAGCTGGAGGCAACGGGGGATCATAGGGGATGGGGGACCCATGGAGGAGGGGGTGAGGGGGAGGGGAATGTGGATGCGAAGACCGAGCTCCATTATCTTTTTCTCCTTCGTATCATCCCCTCTAATGTTCTTCGTCTCGCGCTCTATCTTTCTGTCTCTCTCTCTCTCTTTCTCTCTTGCGTCTCTCTCTCTCTCTCTTTCATGATCCATGTCATCATTTCTGTTTATGTCTCCCTCTCTCTCTCTCTCTCCCTGTCTCTACTCTCATTTCTCCATGTGCTCTCCTTCCCTCCCTTTATACTCCCCTCCCTCCTTCCCTGCTCCGCCCTGTTTCCCTTCTCCACGGAACTGCACCGAAAAACTCGGGGCAATAACACAGAACCCGGCCGGGACGAATGGCAATGGATCATAATCGACGGGTCCAGCCTTGCATCGACGTCTCCCTGTCCTGGGCACAGGGGCTGCCGACTATGGGCGGGGAGACGGGCAAACGGGAGGGGCGGACAGCAAGTATGGGCGAAGGGTTGGGCTGGGGATGGCGCGGGAGCTGGTAGCCGCTGGACTCCCTTTACCCGCCCTCCCTCGCGTCCCCTCTCCCCTTGTTGCTCCAGTCCTCCCCAGCTGTGGGCACCAGCGAGGTCGCCGAGGAGAAGGCAGGACGGGGGGTCCGCAGCCCAACAGCCCAAGCAGTCCCTCCAGCCTCCTCATTCCTCCCTCCCTCCCTTGTCCCACTCCTCCCTGGAGAGGGAGGGAGGGAGGGAGGGAGGGAGGGAGGGGGGGAAGGAGGAAGACATTTTTTCGAGTATCGGGCTATCGGGCAAAGTCGCTGATATACCATATGCACTCTGCCACTCCCTCCACAGATCACCACGAACTCCGCGACGAGAATTACTACGAATTCAAACACGAATAATAATAAGAATAATAGTAATCATAATAATAATAAGTAGAAGAAGGAACACCACTCCACGCCCACACCTCCACCTTATTTCAGTTCCTTCCCCAACGCGCCCAGAAGATAACCTGACTGGTCCAACCTGGCGCCAGCACTCTGAGACAAAGGATGGTGCTACGCTGGGAACCAAACTATGGATCTAGAGCGTATTGTCCTGACCGAGCATGGTGAAAATTGGGGCCCAAACAGCATGCGGGACAAATAGATCAAGTAACCATTTTGAGCAAGCACCTTAAGAAACACCAGAACCCGTCGACACGGCCCGGCCTTTTCGCAAACCATTCAATGGCCTTGACGTACCCCTTGATATGAAGGAAACGGTTGAAGAAGATGTCGGACGAGAAGAATGTGTCTTCTGCGAAATGCCAGAAGTGGTTGAACCATTTGCTCGCACGTACACGATGCCACAACACGTGCGATACATATTCCTACCATCGCAGCAGGGGCATTTGAACATGAAAAGAACATGCTCCTCCAATCCAGTGCCGTGCTCTGTTGGGCGCGCCTGGCCCAAAAGGCTCTCTCCTCCCACATCCGCAAAGCAAGGCCCAGGGCTCGACCTAAACAGTGTTTTGGCAAGTTTGCAGCGAATGCGGAATGTTGATAAAACGAGAGAAACCGAAGACAAAACGAAAACGAAAAACATTGTTTGGATCAAGCACTGACAAGGCCCAGCCTCTCCCAAGCGTTGTCGGAGAGTGCTGGTGTATTTTGCCCTGCCCTCGCCGCCGGGATCACCAGCTCGCGTCGCGGCCGCTCCGAGGCACCTCTCAAGCGCCGGCGTGCAGGTGCAGGGCGCGTTCCATCACCCACTCGAGCTCAAACGTGTAAGGAGCCTATGGGCCGCGTGTGCTTGAACCAGAAGGGCTACGGAGGGAGGGAGGGAGGGATGAGGGGGAAGCAGGAAGGGAGTTGGAGGAGGAGGAGGAGGAGGAGGAGGAGGAGGAGCAGGAGGAGCAGGAGCAGGAGGAGCAGGAGGAGGGAGATGAGAAAGGAGGGAGGGAGGAAGGGAGGACGATGATGACAATGAGGAGGAGGAGGAGGAGGAGGAGGAGGAGGAGGAGGAAAAGGAAAAGGAGGAGGAAAAGGAGGAGGAAGAGGAGGATCAACGCTTAAGCTTGCCCAGCAGAAATACCAAAATCCAGCAGGAGGGGCAGGCAGGAGCGAGGAGAGGCCGGGCCCAGCCGGAGCTCGGCCGCCAGGAGCTGCTGGAGAAGTACAGGGAGCGCGAACGGGAGTCCGCCGTCGCCAGCGGCAAGGACCGCGGGCGCGCCCGCGGCCGCCAGGCGGTGTCGCGCGTCTCCCCGTCGTGGCCTCGTTCCTGGGCGAGAGGCTGATCCTCAGGCATGGTCGCGTCGTAACAAAAATCAGGACGGAAGGTCCGAAGAAGAAGCATCGCCATCCTTGGCCCTGCTTCTATCGCACCTTCTGGAAGGTGTGGAAGGTGCGGAAGGTGCTAGGGTTTTGACTGTGTTTTCGGATGTCGTCGAATTTTTGTCGGTGCCTTTGCATGTCTCCGTACTATGAGAAACTTGTGGTACTTCACGTAATCTGCGTTATCTTAAACATATATGCGGTGAGCGTATATTTAATGTTGATGTTGATGATGCTGATGCCGACCACGACGACGACGATGATGTCGATGATGATGATAATAATTATGATGATGCTGATGATGATGATGATGATGATGATGATGATGATGATGATGATGATGATGCTGATGCTGATGATGGTGATGATGATGATGACGCTGATGCTCATTGTGATGATGATGGTGATGATGATGATGCTGATGGTGGTGATGATGGAAATGGCGATGGTGATGACGATGATGATGGTGCTGATGATGATGCTGATGATGATGATGAGGTGGAGGAGGAGGATGATGTGGAAATGACGATGGTGATGATAAGGAGGAGGAGGAGGACGAGGAGGAGGAGGAGGAGAAGGAGTTGGAGGAGGAGGAGGACGACGATCACGATTGTGATGCCCTTGTGCTTATGCGATGGTGATGATGATGATGATGATGATGATGATGATGATGATGATGATGATGGGGATGAGGAAGAGGATGAGATGGAAATGACGATGGTGATGATGATGATGATGATGATGATGAGGAGGAGGAGGAGGAGGAGGAGGAGGAGGAGGAGGACGACAAAGAGGACGAGGAGGAGGAGGAGGAGGAGTTGGAGGACGACGACGATCACGATTGTGATGCCCTTATGTTGTACGGATGATGAGGATATGATGGTGATGATGATGTGGGGAGACGGAGGATGGCGATCACGATTCCGATGCCCATGTTGAGATTCTGATGTCGGAGCTCGCAGTGTTGGTGGTGATGACCATGCTACCATGATTAGCAACCCCCGACTTAAGAGCCCAAGCCATTGGCCCTCCAGCAGTGCCCCCAGAAGTGGCGCCAAGTCCGAGGCCCTCTCGGGGCCGCGCTCCCCAGTCTGAATTGTCCGGGGTCGGCCGCGCCCGACTCGCTTGCATTCCAGGGTGCCAGCGGCCAAGACTTCCCTCTCATCGCGACCTCCCCCGCCCTCATCAAGAAGCCGTTTCAGACCCGGCGGCAGCGGCAGCTCCATTTGCAGGCAAGCCGCAAGGTGGGGCCCGACGAGCCGTTTGACCCGCCAGTCACGCAGCGCGCGACGCAGGACACTTTGCTGCCAGGCCACGCGCGAAAGACGTTGCTGCCCTAACAGAAAAGAAGATGGTCGCAGCAGGCTAACAGACTGAGATGGCTTGCGAGTTGTGCCAATGCCCTGTGGACTTCCTTCCCCGCAGGCTCTCCGAGCGCCCAGGTGCCCCGAACCTGCGCCAGGAGAAGTTGGAGGAAGTAGACGCGGGGGAGCTGACGGACCCGAGGAAAGGTTTCCCGTCAGTCCTGGGGCTCCAACGGTTGCCCGAACCCGTTGCTCGGAGGCCCCCCAGGTGAAGGTCTAGATTGCGCATCGCATAGGCCGAGAGATGGCCAACCTATGAAGGCTGCCATGCAAGGAGAAGTTCTTCACGACGGCAGCGTTTTAACACCTGGGCCCGCGGTTTACGACGCCCCCGCTTGGCCGGCGGTCAGAAACGACGAGACTGGCGACCCAGTTGCCAGCGCCTCGGGCCCCGCAGGGGCCAGCTGGCCTCCCGCGTCGTCCGCTGCCGAGCACTTGGGGTTCCTAGTTGCCGCCTCCTGTCCCTGCGTCGCCGCGGCGTGGACGGGCTTCAAAGCACCCTCCCGGCTCCTTCTGAGCCAGAGGTAAGTGGGAAAGATGTGTGACATGTCTGCTGACATTTCTGTTTAAGCCAGGGCCCAGGGCAGTGTTCGCCCCCTCGAGACCCAAAAAGTAAAGGTCCACCGGGACTTAGACGCCCTGGAGGTCGGCTCGAGGGAGTGGCACGTTGCCAAAAGGAGTGATTGGGCGGACAGAGTTGCCAAGCAAGCAGCCTCCCATATCCCTACCCCGTCCCAGCTTGAGCTCGAGTTTCACACGTCAGAGCGCTGCCGTGTCCAGAGCTTAGTGAAGTACGCAGCAGAAGCGTTGTCCCATTGGTCTCCAATTGCCCCGAAGGCGGGCAAGAATACCTTCGAGAAGCCCCCCAAGAGCCTCGATCCTCTTGTCGGTGCTGCTGGTGCGGTCAAGGCCTGGACGGCCCCCCCGCCCCCTGCGAGTCTTCTTCGGCGTGCTCGTGCGTGCCGTAACCCGCAGGGGGCGAAACGTCACCGCCACCAGTGAGCACGGCTGAACGATCGCTTGCTGTGCCCAGCATGCCACCCCCGCGCCAGAACCGACAGTGCCCGCAAGGCCCGCATGCTAGAAGCATGCCCAGGCAATTCTGCTGCCCTTTTCGGATTCGATTCGTGACCTCATGAAGCACCGCCTCATGATTTATGACTACCTTGATTTCGAGTCTCTCCTTGTCGTTTGCAAACGGTGCGGCCGTTACTCGGAGAGCAGCCTCAAGGGTCTCAAAGGTGAGTGCAAGGGAAGTTTCCACAACAGGTTTCCCCAGAATGCGTGGTTCCTTTTTTGTCAGGCGGTCGACACCCCAAGAGCAGGTTATTGGCGCGCCCCCGTTTTTCCTAGCCCATCCCTGCTGCCCAGCTCCTCAAGGAAGGGGTGGAGAGGTAGGCCGAAGAGAGCGTCAGTGGAGAGAGGACGTAACCAAGGTTTCGGCTAGGTCGGGTCGACTAACCCTAGCGTTCCCCCCAGAACCTATGATGGTCCTCCTCCTTTTCCTCCTCTTCCTCCTCCTTCTCCTCCTCCTCCTCCTCCTCCTCCTCCCCCTTTTCGGATCGGGATGGAGAAGCGGGAGGAGGCAAGGGACGACGATGATGACCACGATGGCACTTTCCACTGGCGGTGCTCAAGAGAAGCACTGCCTTCGGCAGCAACCAGCCGCGCAGGAGCGCGAGCTTTTCGGAACGGGCCCCTGGCCCACCGTCCTTGGCCGCCCCTCCTCGCGTCAGGACTACTGCAAGAGCAGCGGGCGCCACACTGTGCACGCCGGGGGGATGACCTTCATCGCCGGGGTCAGCCGCGCGCTTGCATTGCTCATTGTTCGATCGGATGACAGCGTCTGACGAATCATGATGGACTGGTTGATCGATCTGATACGCAGAGAGAGAGAGAAATGACGAGAGAGAGTGAGAGAGAAAGGGGGAATGAGAGGGAGAGAGAGAGAGAGACAGAGGGTGAGAGGAAAAGAGACGGAGGACAATATTATATATATATATAGAGAGAGAGAGAGAACACACACACATCGAACATAATAAGCTAAAGAGAGAGAGAGAGAGAAAAGAGAAATAGAGAAATATACAGACAGAGAGATAGGACGACACAACAACAGAACAAAACAAGGAACGGACACGCGGAAGGCACAGAGAGCGACAGAGAGAGAGAGAGAGAGAATAGAGAGAGAGAGAGAGCAAGAGAGAGAAGGATATGAGGAGAGGCACCACACGGGCAGCATGGGCTGGGATGGTGAGAGGACGGGAGGGGACGAGCAGAGGGCGGAGGGCGCAGGCAGAGGCGGGAGCCGTGTTCCGAAAAGCCGCGTCGGACGCGGATGTGGCGGAGGTGGAGTTGGTTTTGTTGTGTGTCGGCTGACCCATGGATGATCAGACGCACGCAAGGTCGCCGAGGTCGCTGATTGAGTACCGTCCTTCTCTTCCTCCTGCTCCTTTTCCGGCGAGCGCAGGCCTCGCGCACCACGAGCTTTTTGATCGGGGGCCGGTGCATTCTCTTGCCGGTTTTCGAGGAGGAGGAGGAAGAGGAGGGGGAGGAGGAGGAGGAGGGGGGATGGCTGGGGAGAGCGGGAAGGGAGACGGGGAAGGCACGGAGGATGGAGGGATGGGGGGGAGGAGGGAGGGATGGGGAGGGGAGGGCGGGAGGGGAGGGCGAGGGAAAACGAGGGGAGGGGGGCGGCGCGTCAGGGCGGCGGCCAAGACCAGAAGCGCAAGCGCGAGGACGAAGAGCGCGAGCAGGAGCGGCGGCGTCGTGCGGTGCATCGGGCGGGCGGGCGCTCGTTCCCCTCCTGGAGGGAGGAGGACGAGGAGGAGGGAATCCTGTCCTCCTCCTCCTCCTCCTCGACCTGGCCCGCGCCTGCGCGTTGCTGCGCGAAGGAGCGCCGCCCTTCGCGAGACAGTGGTGAGACCCTCGTCTCTCCCTCCATGACCACGTGCTCCTCCTCCTCCTCCTTCTCCTCCTCCTCCTCCTCCTCCTCTTTCTGTTTGTTCAGTGAGTGGGGAGTGGGGAGGCTTGGAGTGGCTAGGAGGTAGGTGGAGGAAGGTAGGAGGTCGGAAGGGGAGGAGGGGGAGGGGGCAGGAATGGGAGGTAGGACGGGAAGGATCAGGTGGTGCAGGAGGACCAGAGCACAGCAGGGATACACAAACGATGCAGCAGCACACCGTCACCCTCGCGTCCCCAGTCGCACCTTTTGTCTCAAGTTCCTGCAAGCCTTTCTTCTTCACTAGAAGGAGCGCCCCCAGGAAAGACGAGCATCCTACGAGCCTGCCGCTCAGGCGAAAGCCCAGCTTTGATAGGGAATGGACTTGCATCTTCCTAGCGAGTTAATGCATCAGGGAAACATCCAATCTGTGGACTCTCCGGCATTGTCGTACACACGCACACGCCACGCCTGCGCTCCGCGGCATGTTGTTTGACTCTCCATTCTCTATCTGGCTTTCTATTCTCCCTGTTCTCTACTCCCTAGTTTCCACTCTCTCTCTCTCTCTTTCTCTCTTTTTCCCGCTATACATATATTTACATATATGTATATAAGTTCCGTCTCTCTCTCTCTTTCTCGGTGTTTATCATTCGGCTTGTCGGCATCCCCTGGAGTATATCTCTATATCAGAGTGAGGGGGCCGAACGGTCATTCGTTGTCCCTGGGTGCGCGGCTAAATAAGGAACTCGTGGTGAGAATTCTGCTTGTTGCGTTGGTGTTGCTATTGTTGTTGGTGTTGTTGGTTTCGTTGTTGTTGTTGGTGTTATTGTTGTTGTTGTTGCTGTTGTTATTGTTGCTGATGTTGTTGTTGTTTGTTGTCGTCGTCCCACCCGCGACCCACCCGCGACCCACTCCGAGACCCACCGCGCGATCCACCCGCGACCATCCCCGCGACCCACCCCGCGACCCACCCGCGACCCACCCCGCGACCAACCCGCGACCCAACCCGCGACCCACCCGCGACCCACCCGCGACCCAACCGCGACCCACCCCACGACCCACCTGCGACCCACCCCGCGACCCATCCGCGACCCAGCCGCGACACACCCCGCGACCCTTCCTCAAAGGAGGAAAAACCACCCGGACCCGACAATTGACGTTTACTAAACGGCCCTGGACGTTGACTAAACAGCCCTGCCTTGTTCGATTCGTTCCTTGTGTGCGTTTACTAAACGGCTTCGCTTGTCGGGATGATTATTCTGGGGTGGATTTTCTGCCCTCTACACCCGCGACCCACTTGCGACCCACCCGCGACCCACCCGCGACCTATTCACATTGGTTTAACGAAAAAGTCGGCGCCTGCTGCGGGCTTTTTGCGTAACTTATGGAACTTTGGCGCCTGCGGCGGGCTTCTCCAGAGTCTCGCAAACTGCCGACGTCCCCACCGCCCCCTCACGCATATCCGCATCTGCGGGGTGCAGCGTAGATAGATATGTGTGTCTATGTCTGGCGTTCTCTCTCTCTCTCTCTCTTCCTCTCTCTCCCTCTCTCTGTATCTTTATGTTTTCGTACATGTCCATCCTTCCCTCTCGAATGTGCATAATCATATCCCGCGTTCTCTATTCCTACATGTGCACACCATACATACATAGACGTGTGTATGTGCCAGTAGCTTGTCTCGTCTATCTTTCCCGATGTATGCATATATATATATATATATATATATATATGAAAGAGCGTGTTCTACCGCTGCTGGCGGAAAACCGGGGGGGGTCACTACAGGTTCGAACCCCTCCCCCTCCCCCCCCCCCTCCGGAAAACCGGGGGGGGTCACTACCGGTTCGAACCCCTCCCCCCCCCCCTCCCAGTTCATCATGAAAAGGGGGGGGGGTCACTACCGGTTCGAACCCCCCCCCCCTCGAAAACCGAGTGGGGGTGCGGACAGTGGTGGGGACGGTGTTGGTGGGGACAGTGGTGAGGGGACAGCGGGACAGTGGTGGGGACAGTGGGGGGACAGTGGGACAGTGGTGGGGACGGTAGTGGTGGGGACAGTGGTGGGGACAATGGTGGGAACAGGGGGGACAGTGGACAGTGGTGGGAACGGTGGTGGTGGGGACAGTGGTGTGGGGACAGTGGGAATGAGGTGGAAACACTGGGACAGTGGAGGGTACAATGGTGGTGGGGACACTGGTAAAGGCGGTGGCGAGGACGGCGGTGGGACAATGGGACAGAGGTACAGTGGGGACAGTGGTGGGGACAGTGGGGACAGTGGTGGAAACAGTGGGACAGCTCAGTGGGACAGCGGAGGAGTCAGTGGGACAGTGGGGACAATGGGGATAGGCAGTGGTTGGGTCCGTGGAGACAGTGGGGAGAGTGGAACCGTGGTGGGAACAGTTGTGGGAACAGTGGGGACAGTGCGACAGTGGTGGGGGCATTGGTGGGGACAATAGGGACGGTGGTGGAACCAGTGGGGACAGTGGTGGTGAGGACAGTGGTGCTGGGAACAACAGTGGGGGATGTGATGCGAGCGGTGGTAGGGACCGGGAGTCGTTTGCTGGCGGTGCGTGGGGGGGGGTCGAACCGGTAGTGACCCCCCTCCGGTTTTCGAGGGGGGGGGGGGTTCCAACCGGTAGTTTAGTGACCCCCCGGTTTTCCGGATCCGGAGGGGGGGGGGGGGGGGGGGGAGGGGTTCGAGCCGGTAGTGACCCCCCCCGGTTTTCGAGGGGGAGGGGGGGGGGGGGGGGGGAAGGGGTTAGGGGAGGGGGGAGGTTTTGCCGGGAGGGGAGGGGGGGGGGGGGGGGGGGGGGTTCCGGCAGGGGGGGTGGGATTTTCGGAGGGGGGGGGGGGGAGACCCCCGGGTTCCAGAGGAAAAGGTTGGCAATTTTCCACAGTAAAGCGGCGGTGGATCCCGCGTTCTCTATTCCTACATGTGCACACCATACATACATAGACGTGTGTATGTGCGAGTAGATTGTCTCGTCTATCTTTCCCGATGTATGCATATATATATATATATATATATATATATTCCTTTGTTTACATTTAAGTTGTCTGCCTCGAGATGTCAGGGAGGGCCGTCTCCTTAAATGTCTGTGCTCAAGCTTGAACAGGCCCACACCCACGCTCGCAGCGCTCTCCCCCTGTCTTGGCTACTTTCCCTCATATCACTGTATCCTACCTCTCTCGCTGCCCATTGGGGCCCGTGCCTGGCGTGCCCGCGCTGCCCGGCGACTCGCCCTCGCTCGGCGAGTGCGGCGGGCCCCGGCTGTCCTGGTGCCCCAGCTCCTGTGATGGCGTGCGCCCGGCGAACGAGGCAACGCGGGCTGCGGAGAGCGCTGTGGCCCCGGCCATCTTGTGGATGATGGCCCTGCAGGGCCATCATCCACAAGATGGCCCTGCAGGGCCATCTTGTGGAGCTTCGTGCAGAGAGGGCCATGGTCGCCGTGTGCAGCTTCGTGCTCATCAGCCTGAGCAGCGGTGCCACCCGCCGCCTCGTCCCGGCCGTGAATCCGATCGGACCTCTGAGGCTCGTCATATGTACCCCAGGTGGCGACGTGCACGATGAGGGCTTCCCGGGCCCGACCGTCGACATCGCCGCGGCCCGCCTCTGTCCTGACCGCGGTCGGCCTCCTGGCATCACGGCGGCGGTCAGTTACCGCTGCAGGCGGGCCCCGACAGCTGTGAAGGAGGTCGCCTTCGACACGGCGGACGAGGCCTTCGCGGCGGCGGCGCTCGCGTCCGAGGCGGCCGCTGCCGGGCAGGCCTTCGCAGCCCCGGCTGCCGGGTGCCAGGTGCCCCTCGCCGCGGGAGGCGGCCCCACGGGCTTGCCCGTGGCCGCTGGTGCCGCGCCCGGCGCCCAGATCGTGGCTGCGGTCGGATCGGCGCCGCCGGCGCCCGCGGCGGGGGTCGCCGGCGCGGCCACCGCCCAGTGGGTCAAGACCGAGAGCATGGCTTTCGCCAACTGTGGTGACCCAGTCTCGCTCCCGGCGAACACCATCGTGCGCGGCGAGTCCGCCATCATGCAGGCGCCCGACAGATTCAGCATCGTGCTCGAGGACGTTCAGTCCTTGGACACAGCGGTGTACGCCGCCCTGGAGGCGTTGCGGGACCCGCGCTACGTGGACGGCTCGGCCTACATTGTGGCCCGACCTCGCTGTCGCTGGAGCGACGTGTGCAAGGAGCTCGTGAAGGCCGCCTACGTCTTGTGGACGGTTCCCGGGCCTCGCGTGGTGAAGTGGTGTGCGGAGTTGCTCGACCTGTGTTCGTCTGCGCCCGTGGTGCACCACCCGCAATTCATGAGCGTGTTCGGGCTGAAGCCGGACTCATTGGGGGAGGAGCTCCACGGCACTGCTCTGCACGTGCTGGGGGAGGCGGCCGAGTAATTACGACGGTGTGAACATCTGCGATTCGGTGGGCATCGAGTCGCTCCTGCGTCAGGCTCAGCTCTCGGAGTATGTCAACTGGATGGACTCCATGGGGGCCGCCGAGAATGTCGGGAGGGACAAGACTCCCCGCGCCTCGACGGTCACGTTCGTCGGCCTCATGGATGAGGTGGCCATCTTCTCCGGTTTCAACAAGAACACAGGCTCGGCCGCGGCGTGTCCAGCGCCCCTGGATCATGTGACTCGCGAGGCGTACAAGGATGCCGCGATTTTGAAACCAGTTCGGAAAGCCAAGGAGGAGCGCGCGGCGCTCCTCATGATGCAATGATGATGCAGCACGGCCCAGGAAAAGCCTCTAGCCTGGTGCCAGATCCAGAGGCCGCCCCCCGCGGCGAGACGCGGCCTCCTTCTGAGGGCGTGATGCCGAGTGATGCCTGTGCTGATCGGCAGCGCGACCTTCTCCCCCTTCCTCTCTCGTGCTTGCGTGAGTCGGGTCTCGACTCGTCAGTTTTTTCTCGGCCGACTCGACGTCGCCACCTCCGTCAGGCCCACTCTGCTCGCTTCGCGGAGTCGGTTGCCTCGAGTCTGAATCAATTTTTCACAGGAGGGCCCCCGAGGGGTGGGTCTTGTTCTCCCAGTGCGGCTCAGCTGGAGGCCTGTCGTCTCATTCGCCGCGCGGTGGATCGCTCAGGGCCCCCTCCCCCAGGGCTCTCCGGCGCGGGGGCACTCAGTGAGCTCTGCGCCCGGCGTTCATACGGTGGTGAGCCGGCCACCCTGGCGCCGATCGGCCCAGACAATGTCTGCCTCTTGGACCTCCCTTCCCCTGGTAGTCCCCCGAAGCCTCTAGGTGTTTTGCTTGGTCCCGAGGGCGAAACCTTGGTCGAAAAGCTGGACAGCAAGATTTTTCCTGAGCGCCTTGCGCGCGAAAAGATGGCCCGTGACGGCCTCTCTAGGCCCTACACAGACCCTGCTCTCAGGCGCCCTCCCCGTCTGTATGCCTCGGTCCTAAAGCGGCTCCGAGAGGCCGGCCTGGCGGTGTGTGTGTGGGGGGGGGGGGGGGTAGAATGCAAAGCTTCGGTTGGGATCTTCGCCGTGTATAAGAAGTCAGGGAAGCTTCGAGTTATTATTGGCGGTCGTATCTCGAGTTGCTGGTTCGACGACTCCGATGCCGTGCACTTGGCGAGTGGGTCCTCGTTCGCGTCCATCCAGGTTGACTCTGAGGATCCTATCTGCGTCGGGGGCGTCGATGTGGCCAACGCTTTTTACAACGTTGCCCTGCCCAAGGGTCTCCAGGAGTTCTTCGGTCTTCCAAGGGCCCGTGCTGGACAGGTTGGAGTCTCGGAGGTGAATGGGGCCCCGGTGGCCCCAAATACTTACATCGCCCCCCTCTTCGCCGCGATCCCCATGGGTTGGAAGCTCTCCTTAAGTTGATGCAACGTACCCTGCACGGAGATCCTCTCGAGGCGGGCCCCCGGCATCGAGGAGGCGAGCGCCCTGTTCGACGGGCGCCCGGCCCCGCCCTTGACGCCGCCGATCCACGCAGAGTACGTTGATAACTTTGTCGCTTTCAGTCAGTGCCAGCGGGCCGCCGGAGATGCTGCCCGCGCAGTCTCCTCGGAACTCACGCGAGCTAGTTTGCCCGTGCACCCGGTGGAGGACACGAGGGGAGGGGCGACCTTGGGGTGGACTTTCTCGGATGACACGGCCGAGGTCGGGGTCAACCCGACTACTTGCTGGAAGCTTCGTCTCGGGTTTCAAGAGTTTGCCCGCCGAAAATATGCTTCAGGAAAGACTGTCGAGATCCTCGTGTCCCACTTTACCACCCGGGCCCTGATTAGGCGCGAGCTCTTGTGCGTGTTCAACGCCGCCTACTCGTTTATAGAACATGCTGGCGACTCCGCGGTGCCACTCTGGCCTTCGGTGAAAAGAGAATTCACGTGGGACAGCCACCTCATCGCCCTTGCTTCGCGTGACCTGTCTGCTCCATGGGCTTCGGAGGTATCAGTTGTGGACGCTTCTAGTTGGGGCATGGGCGCGTGTGTCCAGGACCTGGACCACCGCGTCGTCGCGGACTTAGGCAAGCTCAACGAACGCTGGAGGTTCACACGGGATGAAGAAAAGGGTTGGTGTCCCCGGGATTCCGCGTTGTTGGCCGCCCGCCTTGGGGGCTACCACGCCCCCCTACCTCGTCGCCGCGGCCGGACTCGTCTTTGCCTTGTGGCCGGTCCTCGCGGGATCCGCGCGCGTTCTGGAACGACCGTTCCGGGGAGGCCCCCCTTGAGCCCTCTGTGGGTCATTCTGCGGAGCGCCCGCCTGACTCGTCGCCCGCGTCGGATTCGCCTCCTGATGCCTTCCCCATCGGTCCCGCCCTCGGTCTGGGATGGGGAGTGGCGCCTCCGGGCGCGGGCCCGCTCCGAGCCTCAGGTTTGCCTTGAAGGTCGGGCGGCCATGGTCTGGTCTACCAAGCGATGCACCCGGTCGTTAGCCTCACTTGGTCGGCGGCACCTTCATCTCGGGGACTATGGCACCTAGCTTGGCTGTGACAAAGGGGCGGTCCTCGGCCAGGGGGATGATGCGGATCTGCCGACAGCGCGCCGCGCTGGCCCTCGCGTCCTTCTCCTACCACATATGGCGGTGGGCCCCGTCTGAGCACAGCGCCAGCGACCCCCCATCTCGCAGCGTGCGCCTGGCTCGAGCGCCGGCCAGTACTCGTCTGCCTGGGCCTCCGCCCGGGCTCGAGGCCCTGGCCCCAGCTCCGCCGCGGCGCGCGGATGCTCCTGTGGCCTGGAGCGCGGCCGCCTGCGCCGCCCGCGAGCGTCGCGTCCGCTCCGCCGGTCACGCCCTCAGAGACGCTTTCGACGGCTTCGGCCCCTCTGGCGACGTGGGCTCGGACAGCCAGGACGGGCGCGCCCGCGGTGCGTCGCCGGCCGGAGGCTGTCTCTGCCCAGTCGAAGGGGGCCGCGCACATGACAAGCTCCGCGCGCGCCCGAGCACCTCGCGGCGTGCTCAGCCGACCAGCGCTGGAGAGCGCTCGGCGCGAGGATCGCCGTCGCGCTCGGGTTTGCCAGCACCCGCGGGAGGCAGTGACGGGGTGCCCGGGACACTCGTTGTTAGAGCGGAGCGTGGCGCGGCCGGCCCAGCAGGAGCGGTGCCGCGAGATGGTTCAGACTTTCAGCACCTGGACGGTTGCCCTGGGCCTCCCCACGTCGACGCTGGCCGAGCTCGACCACGCGGCGGTGGCGTACTTCCACGACCTCTTCTTCAACGGCGAGGTGGTGGACCACGCGTCGGCGCTGCTGGCCGCGCTCGCGTTCTGCGATCCTCGTGTGACTCGGCGGACCCCAGAACTCGCTCGGGCCCGCCGGGCCCTGAAGGGCTTCGGGAAGCTCGCGCCGTCGCGGGCGCGGCTTCCCCTGCCGTGGACGGTGGTGGCTCTGATCATCACCGAGCTGCTGGCCCTGGGCCTGGCCGAGGCAGCCTGGCTGACGCCCCTGAACTTCGTGTTCTATTGCCGCCCCTCGGAGCTGCTGAGGCTCCGCTGCCGGGACCTCGTCGCGCCGCCCCGCGGCGGCCCGGTCGCCATGCGGAAGTAGAGCCTCCTGCTCAACCCGATCGAGGGCGGTGTGCCGAGCAAGACTGCCGTGTTCGACGAGAGCCTGCTGCGCGACAGCGTGGAGTTCGCCTGGGTCAACCAGGTCCTCGAGGTGATCAAGGGCCGCCGAGGCCCCGACGACCTGATCGTCGGCCTGACCTACGCGCAGTGGTGCGGCCAGTTCCAGCAGGCCGCGAACGCGCTGCCGCTGTCCGCGCTGGCGCCGATCTCCTTGTACCAGCTCAGGCGCGGCGGGGCCGGCCGCGAGATTCTCGGCGGGGGGCGCGACGCGACCGGGGTGAAGAAGCGCGGCCGATGGCAGTCAGACGCGTCCCTCCACCGGTACGTCAAGGCCGGCCGCTTGAACGAACAGCTGCAGCGCCTCGACGTCCACGTGCAGGAAGTCGCCGCCGTGTGTGCCGAGCGACTGTCGTCCATGATCCTCGCGCCATCCCGAGCCTGCTCGTTGCTCCGGAGGAAGGGTTTGCACTAGAGCTTTTTGCTGGCCAGGGCCGCTGGTCATCTGCCTGGCGTTCGACTCCTGGCCTCCGACATATTCCTGTGTTTGCCGTCGATATTCGGCGCGGGCCGGCCCGTGACCTTACGAATCGGGCTTTCGCCCGCCTCGTCCGCGGCTGGATTCGCTCGAACCTGGTGAGGGCCCTGTGGCTCGGTACCCCGCGCACCACCTTTTCGATGGCAAATCGGGAGGGCTGGAGGTCTAGGCAATACCCTGGTGGAGTTCCTGGCCTCTCGGGCCACGTCCTGTCCAGGGTCCAGGAGGCCAACGAGTTGAGCTCAATCTCCGCCGGTTTCTTTCGCCTGGCTCGTGCGATGATGGTTCCAGTTACTATCGAGAACCCTCGCACGAGCCGCCTGTGGTCAATGCCCGCTTGGTCTCAGATCCTGAGATATCCAGGTGTAGATGTTGCCATTCTAGACTATTGCGCCTGCGGCATGCCCTGGAGAAAGAGGGCCTGGTTCGTGTCGGCCAATGTTGTCCTCTTTCACCTCCCGTTCAAGTGCCACGGTACCAAAGTCTGTGACTTCACCGGCAAACCCCATATCTGTCTCCAGGGCCATGATGATAATCACGTGCATCGTACGAAAATCGCCGAGCCGTACCCCCGGAAGTTGTGCGTTGGGATCCTCAAGGCGCTTGCGAGTACTATCCTCTCGAATCTTCAGTGTACTCTAGTGGTCTAGCTTGCTGCGTTTTGGTGTGTGGGCTTAATGCGGCATACCAGTCCTTACTTTTGGCTGGGAAAGGCGTCTTTGGAGAGCTGGGCAACCGGCTGCCCTGAGTATAAAGGTGCGTGTGCGTGTGCTCGAGCGTTGAGACCCTTGGCGAGATCAGCACACAGATCGAACCCTGCTGGCGAGAAAACCATCTGGCCCGTCAAGTACATCGGCGAGCATACATATTCCTTTGTTTACATGTGGGTTGTCTGCCTCGAGATGTCAGGGAGGGCCGTCTCCTTAAATGTCTGTGCTCAAGCTTCCCACGGTCTCCGTCCGCTATGCGTTCTGCCACCCCAAACCACCATTTTTTTGCCGCCTTTTAAGGACAAGAAGTCCCACGTCCCGTGTGCTGCATAGTATCTCTTCAGGAGAGCTGGGCAACCGGCTGCCCTGACGTAGCACCCCGCAATTGCGGATAAGAGTGA